AAAAAATAGTACTAGAATTGATGAGTTTAAACATAAATATAAAGGTATGTGTCAATCAAGATATATTCAAGAACAGGCTTAATGATTAATTAGATGGAACATTGTGGGTGTGGTGTATGAATGTTAACACTTTGTAATAATTCTTTAATATATTACTTGTGTGGTGTAGAAGATAATTATTTAAGAATGTAATTATGTAAGAATGTTAACACTCTGTTATAATTTTTTAGTATATTACTTGTGTGGTGTGGAAGAGAATTATTTATGTAGAGATACTGCTTGCAAACCACTGATGGTAAGATGATGTCATGGGGTAGGACTGGATAAGTCTGACTTCTTCCTACTCCATTCAAGCATGTACTAGGTATAAGCAAATTGATATTGGATTAGCATTTGTTGGATATGTGTAAAATTATGTGTGTTGTCATATCAACTGTCTTTACGTGCTTGAAAGAATAAATTAATAAATCAAATCAAAACAAGATAACTTGATGCCTCATTCTTGAGACACTACTTAATGGTATAAAAACATACGGTTATATAAAATTACCTTAACACATTTTAATGCATTAAAACAGATATAACAATCTGAATCATTTTGCACAAGTACTTCTACTTTCGATTCTTTAAGTATATTTTTGTTTTTCTACTTTTTAAGATGTAAAGACGTATTTTTATGCTGTGGTACTGCTACTTTTACTTCTCCCAACACATCCAGAAACAGAACTGCATGTCACTATATTTTACTGCCGAGTAGCTGTAGTGAAACTGTTCACTTACTGTGCAACAAAGTACAGAGTGTGACCTGTCTCTATTTGCATATAAAACCCCGCAGCCATCAGATCATACAGTTTCATAGATTTCTGTTGACAATAAGCTTACCATCAACTGCTGTCAGTCAGCCACTAGTTTCATTCAAATTGCAGCTCTACGCAGATTAACATCCACTCTGCGTATCCTTATCCGGTGTGCAGTCCTCTCGCTATCTCTCTGACTCATACACGTCTCTTCTGCTACCACACAAACACACACAAGCTGCAAACTGTCACCAGACCCAGGTCATAAATATTTCAGGGTATGTTCTGTTTAAACTTTAATGCTACCCTATTGCACAGCCCAACAAGTGCATGCATATTCACTGAGTGTACACTTTTCTTATTGAGATCTATAGTTCATCACTGTGCATGCTCCACCTGTTGAATGTCTGCCAGTGTCAAAACTGTGATGCTTATGGTCTTTTCTGTCAAGAAGACACAAACTACTGAATGTGTATCCACCATGATCCTGATGTAGCTGGAAATAAAACAGCCACTGTTCTAGCTCATGACACTTAATCCAACACTCTGCCTACTGTACTGTGTTTAAAGGTGAAGCTGATATATATAACAGCAGAAGAAAACACAGTTGCAGCCCATGTTCTGGATGGTTTCTACATTTCACAATTAAAGGTACAAGGTGAAGCTGATATATGTAACAGCAGAAGAAAACACAGTTGCAGCCCATGTTCTGGATGGTTTCTATATTTCACAATTAAAGGTACAGTAGGCTGCCTAATGTCTTTTTAGCCTAGTGAGACTCAGAACAAATGGACACCATCAGCCCTGTTTCCTAAAGCCTCTGTGCAAGCTACAGATACCTGATTGAAACAAACTGCAGCTTCCAGTCTGAAGCTAGGTTAGTTGACTTACAGTAAACATGTCAGTCCAGTAGAAGCTCTGGTTACTGCTGATGTGACACAAAGGACTGACGTTACACAAAGCTGCAGTTCCTCCCAAATTAAAATCATTTTAATTCAACACAAAGGTAAAGTCCTGACCATGCTAGGTGGCTAATGCTACCAAAACAAACAGGTTAGCTTTAGATGCTAACACATCCAGAAGGAAGAAGGCCACATCTGAATCCAGTCTGAGTCCTCTGGCTGCTTTTAACCCTCTCCATGTCAAACAACCAAACCCATATTAACCCTGGTTGTTGCTCTTTCTTTGTCCTACTCTCTCTGTGCTAAAGACGCCACCTCTTCAGTCTGGCAGCCGCTGGTTCAGACTTTTAGCTGCCCAGAGCTCCTCCATGGCTGTTTGACATGACTACTGGTTGGGAAAACCCTTCTTCTAACCTTGGCTAGGCGGCAGGCGGGGCTGATTTACAGACCGTACTTTGACAACACAGGGTGGAGAAGCTGGAATAACAACAGGAGGCTGTAGGCAACAGAGGGTCATGGAGGGGGGTGTAGCTGAGAGACACCAGGTCCCACTGTCACTGGGTTTATTAGACAATGTGTAAAATCTTATTTAATGTACCATGAAGCTACAGTGACAATTCAAATGTGATACCTCCACTTCCTTACAGAGCTTTTATTAACCGACACAGGAACCTAATGTCTAATTAACCCACAGGGAAATAGGCCAAGACAGACACAATCTGATTCATGACTGGGAGTGATGAAATTTAGCAGGAAAGCTGCCAACAGGATCCTAGTTCCACATGTCGCCATTATGGCACCATATGATTTCATGAAGAATTGAAGCGATCAAAGCTCCAGTTTCTCCACAGACAGAAGTGTGTGTGCCAACAAATGACAGGAAAATGGCAGCACAGCAGGGTTTCTGCAGTCATGTCTGTGTGTTAATGGGGCTTCGTGAATGATTATTTTTTTTTATCCATCTGAATGGTCAAACTGTGCCAAACTGAGCATCTTTCTTCACACACTGAGGCGAGAAAGGTGGCATTTTTAAAAATTTATGTAATAAATGGAAGAATTAGTAGTAACAGTGGCCATGTACTGTGTTTGTATATGTCTCAATATGCATCTTTCAGTTACTGAATTTTATACACATTCCATCAAAAGAAAATGAATTGGATGATTCCTAACTATTTATGTATTTACATATTAAAATGTCTGATGTGCTGATTTACTCTATGAAACATCAAAAATGCTGATTACATTAGCCTAGGGCGCAAGGTGTCGCCATTAAGAAGGAGGTTTATTTATTTATTGTCATTGTGACACGTACAATGAAATTATGTTTGGAGCTGAGGGCCCTGGGACGCTCTGTGCATAATCTTCTGTCACTCAAGTAATCAATGGATAATCTAAAAATTTCAGCTCTAATGAAACTGCAGTTTATCTGCTGCCGATGTTTAGCACACCTGTTGAGATGGCTACAGGCCTGCAGTGGGAGGCAGGCACTGAAGGGCCAAGAAGCACGTGATCAAATCCATGCTTTCACCATGACAAAACTCTGAACACAAAATAACTGCAGGCCTAAAAGTGATAGAGTGACAGTAAAACATGTTCTCTCATTCACTTCCCTGTTTCTGAGAAGTGGCTTGAAAGTGTCACTCAAATTTTATATTCTGGTTTTAATACAGCATGAATTATCTCTGGTTACACTGACTTCAATCTAATTTCAGGGTTATGCCAAATTACGGTACGTATTTACTATCCAACCTATTACAGCATAGAAATCAAACACCTATTTGTAAAAAGGAACAACACGTAAACTGGGGTTTAGTTTATTGCTATGTACATGTTACCTTTATGAGTCTGTAAAGGAACTGGCGTTTAAACCAGTAGTGGAAGAAGAACACTTGTGTTGTTTGGCATTCAGTGTGGGTGGCAAAGTAGGAATATCATTGTGCAGGGAAACACGTTTCCATACTGTGTATACGACAATAAACACTTAGTCAGCGCTTTTACTCTAGTATAACTATTAACACAACATTGTTAAACTAACCCATTAAAAGTCACTGTCCTGCATTAAAAATCTTACTTATATAAAGGTTCAATGTTTTTAAAGTATAAAAAGTAAAATGACTCATTCTGCAGTAAAATTACAACATGGTGAATATTTATCTAATACTGAGGCAATAATATGTAAGAAATACGGTATTTTACTGTTGCAGCTGGTCAGTGGGAAACTATTTTAACTACTGTACACCAGTTAGATAGTTCAGTCCAGTGGGGGTCAGGCCCCTGCAAAGGCTTGTAAAATAAACTGGTTGTGATTTGATAAATGGGGAGGAAAAATAGAAAATGATGCACAAATTTGTGCTAATAGAATACTGCGGATTTTATTTGATGTTTGAATTTTTCTAAAATAGTATAGTATTTTTTTTTTTTTGCACAATCTTGTAATGTAACTGTAGCTGTCAGATAAAGGCAGTAACAAGTACAATATGTCCCTGTGAAATGCAATGGAGTACAAGTATAGAGTGGCATTAAATAGAAATGCTTAAGTAAAGTATAAGTAGCCTAACTCAAACCTGTACTCTAGTAACATTACAGAACTTGAGTAAATAGTTACTTTCCACGAATGGTTAAAATTCAAAGCTACATTATGAAGAAAACGACAGCGTTTAAATAAACACCAAGTCCCAGTAACAGGTAACACCTTCTGTATAAACAGGAAGGCTAACACAAGTCTAAACTAGCTAACACATAAGAACATATTGTCACTCTAATCAAGCAAAGTGTAAAAATAAAACCTGCCAGCAAGTGAATTAACGTTTGTGTCAGCAAGCATCTATAACATCAGTTTAACACAGAACATCCAGTGTCAGATTTGCTGGGTTAAGCAGCCTGTTATTAATCTGGAATAATGCATTAGCATGCTAACGCGGCTACCGTTGCTAGCTAAGGTTACCTGAAACGGGTTGCTAAAGTCCGGGTCCACGAACGGGTTGCTGTCGAAATCTGACATTCTCCTGAGTTGTTACGTTTAAATGTCTCAAAGATAATAATTCTAGTCAAAGTTAGAGCTAGCTACTTAAAAACAAGAGTCGCTATGAAACAGGCGGAGAAAACGACACGGTCGGAGGTGAACACAAGTGTTGACTGTATCCAAAGATGCTAACGAGTCGATAAGTAGGATTGATCACCAGCAGTGGATCAAATGTGACTCAACGACACGCCACCCACACCAGGCGGAAGTAAAGAAACATCACATCCTAGATTAAAAAAAACAAATGACAAAAAGACTAGCCGGCCCATTTTTGCGAATGGATAGTGATGGAAAACAGTATTCAGATATATTGCTTAAGTAGTCTTAAAGTAAAAATACAGTAAAATATTCTTTAAAATAGGATACATGTCCTTCGTTCAAAATGGTACTTAAGCAAAATACACAAGTTTTAGCATCAGAATCTCAGAATCAGAATCAGCTTTATTGGACAGGTGTGTCGAACACACGAGGAATCTGACTGGTACATCGGCTCTCGATGTGCATGTACATATCCCCATGCAAGGGGCAAGCAAACAGTAAACCAGCATAAGGCTGTGTAATATAACAAAATAAGCAGTATTAACAAGCAGTAAACAATGCAGACAGACAAAGGAATGCTCATTGAAATGAGATAAATAGGAATAAAATACAGTACTTAAAAATGGAGACCTGTAGGGATCTATATAATCTGTACAATGCATATTTACAGGTATTGCACTGAGGGTTATTGTCCAGTCATACTGTCGTGGGACAAGTGTTCATCAGAGTGACAGCCCGGGGGAAGAAACTGTCCTTGTGCCTGGTTGTCTTGGTGTACAATGACCTGTAACGCCGTCCAGAGGGGAGGAGTTCAAACAGATTGTATCCCGGGTGTGAGGGGTCAGCAGTGATCTTCTCCCGGGTGTGAGGGGTCTGCAGTGACCTTGACAGACAGGCACAGAGAGAACACTGGACCTCTGCAGACACACACCCATGCTCACACCTCTTCCTAAAGACTGAGATTTGCACTGAGCTGCACTTTATAATGTTACTACACTCTTTTGCTGCTAACATGCTGCTGACCTGATTAGGTCCCGTACATCCTTCTTTATTAGTTCATGCTTTTATATTGACTTGTACAATTTTGTGTTATGTAAATAATGTGTCTTTTAAGCCAAAGAGCTCCCGGAAAAAATCGTTGTGCGAGGCATAATGACAATAAAGATTCTTGACTTGACTACATGTAGTGGGATAAAACGTACTGAAATGTAATGAAGTCGAAGTATGAAGTAGCAGATAATGGAAATTTCAAGTGTAGTACAAATAGCTTAGTAGGCTAACACATTTATTTTGCGTTTTCTATTCCAATTCTATCTCAGATAGGAACCGAGGCTTTACGTCCATAGATCTAGATGTTATAAACAAGCAGTGAGGGTGCAAAAGCAGAAAATAGTAAACAATCTTTTCTAGTTATTACATCTCTATGTCTTGTCCGCCGCTGAAGCTCTGTCATGTGACACTAACTTGTCCACCTCACACTTCCGCTACTGCGTATGAAAAAGTTGGGTGAATTAGAGAAGTTTGACTTTGTAGCATTTTCAAAACGATACGTTACACTGCCTTAGTCTTTCATTTATGAAGCATTTATAGCTCGAAAGAGTAGTAGAACAGGTTTACTTATCGGGTACTTGTTTAAAAGTTGAACATGTCCACGAGCGTCTTGTACAATGACCAAGGAGGAGCGGAGGCTGCGGTGGAAGCAGGGCTGGAGAGCACCCCGACCTCCTCCAGCACAGGAGCTGCTTTCAGACTCGTCCACGCTGACTTTAAAAAGTAAGATAGCTTAGCATGTGTTCCGTCTGCTGTCAGCCAGGCTAATTGTAGGTACAGTTAAGCGGTTATAGTGAACTTTATGCAGCTGGCTCTCTGTGTAGCTGACCTGAAAAGTGAACACTGAGACCCTGCAGTAACAATACGCTGTGTAGTGGTGGCAAAAGACGGTTAGCTGTTTGACATGGTACTGCTGACTGTGTAACTGTCATGTACAGCCAGTCTCATTTCAGACCACGTTTGTGGTGTATATCAGATACATGCTGTTTTGTTCCATTTAACGTCTGTGTATCAGTATTTACCCGTCGAGATAAACCCAGGTCAAGTCAAGTCAGACCTCCTGGGGCTGCTGGGGCAAGATTTTGGGCTTGACCCCCACTATACAGGCACCCCTAAACCAACCAGTTAGCTTTGAAGGATTAAGATAAAATGGGCCTCTGTGCACAGACATACGTAAATAATAAGCAATTACACACGGCGGGGCTTAGGAGGAAGAGTGGGTCATCCTCTAAACAGAATGGTTGGTGGTTTGATCCCTGGTTTAAATGAGCTAGGGCAGGTCACTGATCCCCAGGTTGCTCCCTGTGGCCCTCTGTGTGTGAGAACATGAGTCATGTTAAATGTGTTTGGATTTAGGTGTAAACCACCGGTTTTTAATTAGAAAGCAAAGTCTCTATCTTAATGTGTGGCTGGGGGTAGATGGGGAAAATCATGATCTGTACTTGAAAATACTTATTTGATATTTGCGCTAATAGAATTTGTTAAGGCCTAAGGATTTGTGAACCTAACACTTTATTTCGGACATGTCAGTTTGGGTGCCCGGGGCTCTGTGTTTGTGGCACCATGTCACAGTTACCTTCTGTATCATTTCATCACCACCATATTTAACATTTCTGTGTTGTAAAACTGAAACTGGACTGTCAGTATTTCAGACACCCGACACTAGAGGGCAGCCAATCATCAGTGTAACCATCCTTTGCATTTTATAATTTCTTGTAAAACCAGTGATTAGGTATCTTAGCTGCTTCTGATTAATGCTACACACCACACTTGCTCTACAGGTGCAGACCAAGCAATGACCTCAGAGTTATTGTAGTAGACTTTTTGTACTGATTCAAATAAGCATTTGGGCTGTTGATAAATCTCCTGAAGTCTGGCCTTGGCCTTGTTTCAGTAGTTGAGGACATATTGAGAGCCTGTTCGGCTAAATCAAGTTATGTCACATGGCAACTTTTCAGCCAATTTGACCTGTTGAATATTAGACTGACACATTTACTGCTAGGCAGTTAACACTAGCTTCAGACTAGAGGCTTCATTTTGTATAGTTTGTTGCAACTGTAGTTGACGTTGTTGTTAGGAAACAGGGCATGATGGGAGGGACAAAGAGCAGTGAGGAGCAGCTTATGGTGTCAGTTTGTTTTGAGTCTCACTAGATCCTCTAGGCTGAAAAGACATTTGGCACAGGAGCTTTAACTGAGGTTTGTCTTATTTATTATTAATATAATGGCCAATATAAATAATAACCTGTCAGAAAATGTATTACAATCCAAGAAAAGCTATTCCTATGTCTTCTTTTTCCACATTTTAAGTACCTTTTCTGACTGCTAACATTACTGCAGACTTGTGCTGAGTCAAACTTTCCATTTGGCAGACTGCTAAATGCCTCTGGTAGACTGTTATAAAGTAAAGTACTGTGATGAGATCCAAAGCAGTTTCTGGCTAATCAAGCTCCACATGGAGACACTCATCTCTGCAGTCCATCAGCCCTTCATACCTCACATGAAGAGCTGCGTATGATTGCCTTCAATTCTAACTCTGTTGCTAATGGGCAGAAACACACTAATACGATCTGACTTGTTTGTCCAGCTCCTAAAAATTGTGCTGAAATGCAGAGCTGCAGTAATGAGAAACCATGACCATATAATCAAATACATTTTGTTTTCACATACAACAGCATTGCATAAACTGAAATGGATACACATGTGGCCCATTTCTGAAAAGTGCCATAGCTAATGTACATAATATATACAGTGGGTACAGAAAGTATTCAGACCCCCTTAAATTTTCCACTCTTTGTTATATTGCAGCCATATGCTAAAATCATTTAAGTTCATTCATTTTTTTCCTCATTAATGTACACACAGCACCCCATATTGACAGAAAAACACAGAATGTTTGACATTTTTGCAGATTTATTAAAAAAGAAAAACAAATATCACATGGTCTCATAAGTATTCAGACCCTTTGCTCAGTATTTAGTAGAAGCACCCTTTTGAGCTAATACAGCCATGAGTCTTTTTGGGAATGATGCAACAAGTTTTTCACACCTGCATTTGGGGATCCTCTGCCATTCCTCCTTGCAGATCCTCTCCAGTTCTGTCAGGTTGGATGGTAAACATTGGTGGACAGCCATTTTCAGGTCTCTCCAGAGATGCTCAATTGGGTTTAAATCAGGGCTCTGGCTGGGCCATTCAAGAACAGTCACAGAGTTGTTGTAAAGCCACTCCTTCATTATTTTAGCTGTGTGCTTAGGGTCATTGTCTTGTTGGAAGGTGAACCTTCGGCCCAGTATGAGGTTCTGAGCACTCTGGAGAAGGTTTTCGTCCAGGATATCCCTGTACTTGGCCGCATTCACCCTTCCCTCCATTGCAACCAGTCGTCCTGTCCCTGCAGCTGAAAAACACCCCCATAGCATGATGCTGCCACCACCATGCTTCACTATTGAGACTGTATTGGACAGGTGATGAGCAGTGCCTGGTTTTCTCCACACATACCGCTTAGAATTAAGGCCAAAAAGTTCTATCTTGGTCTCATCAGACCAGAGAATCGTATTTCTCACCATCTTGGAGTCCTTCAGGTGTTTTTTAGCAAACTCCATGCAGACTTTCATGGGTCTTGCACTGAGGAGAGGCTTCCGTCGGGCCACTCTGCCATAAAGCCCCGACTGGTGGGGGGCTGCAGTGATGGTTGACTTTCTACAACTTTCTCCCATCTCCCGACTGCATCTCTGGAGCTCAGCCACAGTCATCTTTGGGTTCTTCTGTACCTCTCTCACCAAGGCTCTTGTTCCCCGATAGCTCAGTTTGGCCGGATGGCCAGCTCTAGGAAGGGTTCTGGTCGTCCCAAACGTCTTCCATTTAAGGATTATGGAGGCCCCTGTGCTCTTAGGAACCTTAAGTGCAGCAGACATTTTTTTTGTAACCTTGGCCAGATCTGTGCTTTGCCACAATTCTGTCTCTGAGCTCTTCAGGCAGTTCCTTTGACTTCATGATTCTCATTTGCTCTGACATGCACTGTGAGCTGTAGGGTCTTATATAGACAGGTGTGTGGCTTTTCCTAATCACGTCCAATCAGTATAATCAAACACAGCTGGACTCAAATGAAGGTGTAGAACCATCTCTGGGATGATCAGAAGAAATGGACAGCACCTAAGTTAAATATATGAGTGTCACAGCAAAGGGTCTGAATACTTATGACCATGTGATATTTCAGTTTTTCTTTTTTAATAAATCTGCAAAAATGTCAAACATTCTGTGTTTTTCTGTCAATATGGGGTGCTGTGTGTACATTAATGAGGAAAAAAATGAACTTAAATGATTTTAGCATATGGCTGCAATATAACAATATAACAGCTAACATTATATTGCTATTCATTACCTCTTTATACACCAGCACTTGTTGGATACCCGTAGGAATATAAACTGTTTATTGAAGGTTTATATAATTGCTAAATAGTTGAGGTAGAGTGAGTTACCTCTTAACTGAACCAATAATAGTGAATAATAATGAAAACTGCAGTTTTGGTGAATGAAGACATTAAGATGTCAGGTTGGTTGGTCAGTCCCACAGAAAATATGAGACAAAACTTTACCCTTGTGCCATTCACATCTTTAAGGGTGTTTCCTGGCATTGAGCTTGTTACTGTTATCTTTGATGTAAGCCTTCCAAACCTGGCAGCGTATGTATCCTTAAGTGGATGATTGTGCAATGCAGGTGATGATAAGTAGCTCAGTGTTTACCCACCACTGTAGATAAGGCCCTCCTTTTCCCCCTAGAGGGAAGTGACCACAGTCACACAGAGACGGAGTCACATGCACAGCCAGAAGGCAGGTGAAATAGTTTCCAGAGAAAGACCTACACGTGTAAGAAGAAAGAGGGAACAAAGTTAAGAAGACTGGGCCTCAGCTGAGCAGCAGGTGGTTTCAGGAGAAATTTGGACTACAGGAGAAGAAGAGAGGTCTAACCCGAGTGAGAGGGCACTGCCCTCAAGCATAGGGATGACTTGCCAACAGTGAGTTGACCCGGCATCTTGTGACTGTTGCCCAAGAGAAGAGGAAGGGAGCAGTGAATGACAGAGCCGGTGGAGCCTGTGCTGTTTTCCCACTGCTCTGAGCTTTGACAGTTATGAAAAGGATGAGAAGACGACTGTAAATACAGCCCAAAGAACACGGCACACAGCCTGAAGCAAAATAATTATTCAGTTTCACTTGTGGCTTACTGGAAATACAGTTACGTTTGTGGATTATTTTGTAGATGACAAACACACACACGAGTGCAGGATTCTGTTGAAGAGAGTTTTTTGGCTGCTGTGGAGGAAAGTTGCCATGGATGTAGGTTTCTCTTTGTGCTCGGAGGCAGTGGGAGCTATGAGGACGGTGCTGATGTCCGCTGAGAACTTACAGCTCACTCTGAAGACTGAGCTGACTCAGGAAGAACAGGCCCTCACACACAGCAGCGGTGGCCGTGTGGAGACGGGGACAGCTGGGTACTGTAGTGAGATCACCCACACCGCTGTGACAGTGACGCACTGTAAACTTGTTTTACTTGGTGACATATGTTTTATTTTAGCTTTCGCAGCGTTTGCCAGCTTGATAGCCAAGTTTGCCATGTCTCCTTGGTTTGTTGTTTCAGAGGAAGATAAAACGCTCTTTACAGTAAAATAATGTTCTGAAATAATTAATCTCTAAATATTTAGTACACCGTATTACACTGAATCTTCAGATTATTGTTGCAGACTCTTAAATTTTCTTTTCTTTCTGGACATGTATGCCACAAACATCCTGTTGTATAGTTTGACAATGGCAGTGTGTGTCAGTGTTGGCCAAGGAATGAGAAGTGTAATATGTGAGTGTGGAGCACTTTAGGCAGAATGGTTGAGATTCTGCTGTTACACTGGTAAAGATAATGTTCTTGCTGTTTAGTCGGGGGCTATGTCAGTCAACCGTTTGGCTCCTTCTGACCTATTGGAGCCAGAGTGACCCTTGCACATGTACCTTCTAATCTGACGCTGACAGAGGTCTGGCACTCGTGGAGGTTTCACAGAATCTTTAGGCAGGCTCTGCCTTCTGAAACTGATTAGTCAAGTCAGCTGAGCAGTCTTTACCTTGTCTAATGTGGACCAGAATAGGACTGATGATATTTTCTTCCCCCAGAAATGAAGACCTTAAAGAGATGTTGGAGAGCAACAAAGAGTCGCTCAAACTGGATGCTATGAAAAGGATTGTTGAGGTGAGTGCACCTTAAAACCTTTCTTTTTGAATTACAGTTGTCTGTCTTGTTGTGGCTGTTGAGTGTAATATTAGTGACAACATCAGTGGATAAATGTTTTTGTTGTTTGATTTACTTTCAGCTGATTGCCAAAGGGAAAAATGCATCGGAGCTGTTTCCTGCTGTTGTGAAGAATGTTGCGAGTAAGAACATTGAGGTATGACATGATAGTATTTAGAAATATATCACAGGAAAACATCATTGTTCCTGTTACTGCAGCTGGCTGTTATGAGTCATTTTATTCTCATGTCACGCAGCAGATGGGTTCTCTGCATGACGTAACAGAGGAAACGTCCTCTACAGAACAGTAGAGATTGGCTTCATTTGGAAGCTTTTCCTTAATTTATTTGGTCAGTTAATTTTGTTTTTTGAACATTTTGCTTTCATTTTTATACAGAGTACAGAAAGGAGACTCTTGTGGGTTTTACTTATTTTAATGAATTACAAAAAGAGAAGAAGAAAAGGAGTGCAGTATAAAACAAAACAACATGAACGAATTGGGCTCGTGGCAGAGTTAACATCTGCTTTTCTAAAAAGTTGACCCATGTTTGGAGAAATATTTGAGGAGCACCTTTATACACATATGTAAATTTGAGTTTGTTTACATGTTGTGAATGAGTAGAGGCGTCTTCTTTTAGCCACTTGATGTACGTTTTTAGCAGCTGTCATGGTGTGGTATGATTCAAGATTATGTTATGGAGAGATCTCTTAATGACAGTATGAAGAGGAGGAATGATTAAAAAAATAAGGTGATAGGTGAATAATGCTTTAAGACAGACTATGTACTATAGTATACTATAGACTCTGTTACTCTGTGTGTGTGTGTGTGTGTGTGTGTGTGTGAGTGTGTGTGTGTGTGTGTGTATATATAGATAGATATATTTGCTATACTCTTATTTTTATGCTGCTAATTTTTTATATGCTTTTATTTCTTGTGTTTTAGTCTTAAACCTTTATACGTTTCTTTATTTTCGGTGCTGCGATTTTGATAATCATTACTGTTGCTGCTGAATACCTGAATTTCCCTCGGGATCAATAAAGTATCTATCTATCTGTCCGTCCAGTCCGTCCGAACCTCCGTGTAGTGTATTCTCTTCACTCATCATTGCAGCTTTGAGAACAACCAGGTCATGTGTGATGTTTCCAGTCTGAGGTCTGGTGTAATGTTAAAGCTACCAGTCCCCTCAGGTGCAGAGTAAATCCTGTGGAGGATTTTGAAATTGCATAACTTAGATTTTGTGTTTCACACTGACAAGTAGGTCAGACCAATGTTCTGTCTTCTGATTGAAATCCAATATCTTTAACTAGAGCAGTATTAGTCTTGTTATTTGCAATTAGAAGATTACACAGTAAGTTATTGTTGAGTATGTTTTATGACTATCCATTTGTGTGCAGTAACTCAAGTTGTATTAGTTTTGACCTCTTTAGAGAATCCACCTGTGATCCAGTGAAACTCCTCTTCCATGAGAGAAAAATGTCAAATATATTCCCTTAAAACCAGTTTGTTGGACCATTAGATCATATATGAAAGGTCTTTTTTAAATAAAATAAAAAAACATAGTTCCCAGCTGGTTTTACTATTGCAAATCATAAGTTGGTGCAGCATCATAAAGGTACTGTAAGACACTGTCAGCCTGTGTTAATACTTCACTAAATCATCTAATGTGTCAGCCATGAACGATTCGTGCACAGACTATTCTAGTGCATTTCCAAAACACCAAGCAACAGCTCAAGAGGGGTTCCCATGCCCAGAGCCTGTGAATATTGATTAGCAGCAGCAGAATAATCAGGTAGCATGAGGGGCGGCATGTGAGCAGGGGGCCTGGAGCCGAGCGCCGTGTGCAAGGCATACAGCCGAAACACCTCATGGCAGGGTAGAGGAGCAGGTGGGTGGATGTAATTGGCAGAAGAGAGCCCACAGTCACGTCTCCTCTCTCCCAACGCATACACACCAGCTGTTAAGCTAGTGTGAGGTCTTGGTCTATGCTACCTCTCCGTTTCTTTTCCTAGCTCTTACACACACTACTCACCTGCAGTATATTGCACTAGAAATGGTCTGTTCTGTGTTCCCATCCTCTCCCCTTTCTCCTGGTCACTGTGAGCTGCCACCGATTCCCACTAATTGGAAAACAGCACAAGAGCATTCAGGTTACTGACAGCGTTGCATGATTTAATATCAGTTCTCTTCATTTTCTTTAATCATTGCTGCACCACATATCAGACTTGAATATGTTTGCATGTTTTGCCACACTTTTGAATATTTTTAAGTCCATATACAAGTTTTCAAGTAGAGAAATTATAAAATCTCATTTGATGCTGAGCAAGTTTCACTTGTAGAGTCCTTAATCATCTGCTTAACTGTTTGAAATGAAATCAGTCGAGCACTTTGTGGTCATATAAAGCAGATCCTTGAGGGCAGATGGGTTGTCTCCTTTTTATAGTGAGTAATGCCATTAATTCCAGCGGTAATGACCAGAACGATGATTGAGAACTCTGGTGCACTGCTGCAGGTCAATACTCCACTGCATTAGAAAGCATGGTGCTGATTACTGGATAAAGCTTTTGGTGATCGCGCCTAAAATGTAAGCGTTCCCCTGACCTCGAACTTAAAACAGTTTTTAAATTAAATTATAAATACTCAAGTAAATCATAACTTTTCATAACCACTTTTCTTGCAGGTGCACTGTTTATAAATCTGCAGCTTTTATAGGCAGCAAGCACCTCTGGTTTTTTTTTCTTGCCTCTTTCTGAATAGCTTATGTGAATCAGCAGAGGAGCAACCTTTGGCCTCCAATCAGACATGTCAGAAAGCAGGGCAAATATTATCTCAGGCTTTCCTGCAAGAAAAGAAGAGGCGTGGAAGCCAAAACACAAAATGACGGGGCAAATAAATCAAAGGCTGTTCTGAAAGGAACAAAAATCCATAACCTCACTCCTGTGCCTCAAACAACACTGGACTGAGTCTGCAGCTAGTGATATCAAGACAGGAAAAACCTTCTATACCAGCTTTTTCTTTCACCCCTTGAAAAAATAAACTTAGGTTTCCCACAGAAAAACTGAACTAAAGGTGGGACTCTCTCAGTTGTTTAAACATTATTGTTCATTACTTTTCCATCTCCAGTCTTTTACTGGCTGTTTAAAAAAAAAAAAGAACAGCCAGAGTGTCCTCTAACATCTGTTTGGTTAAACTTTTTGCATTCTCCTTGTTTTACTGGCTTTTTAAAAAAAAAAAAGAACAGCCAGAGTGTCCTCTAACATCTGTTTGGTTAAACTTTTTGCATTCTCCTTGTGTTGCCTTAGCTCTGCTTTACAGCTGGTTCAATTTATTGCTGTTTGATTAAATTGTCCTTTGCAGCTTAAGAAGCTCGTGTACGTCTACTTGGTGAGGTATGCAGAAGAGCAGCAGGACTTAGCTTTGCTGTCCATCAGTACCTTCCAGCGGGCCCTCAAGGTAACGCTTCTTGTCTCCGTCTTTCTGTTTTTATTATTACTGACATGGTAAAAAAGCTGTAATATTTTAGTGTGCATGCAGTCGAGTCTCAGAGAAACTGAGAGTTGAAGAATACTGATATTGCATCTTCTTGAGCACATTTCTAGACACTGGTCTTTTCTTTTTGTTATATGACATTAGTGTTGGTACAAAGTCTCCATTGGAAAGCTGCATGTATTATTGAACCTCAATAAATGATTCAGATAATCATTATTAAATGAAAATCTTTCACACGTGGAAACATGGTGCTTTCGTCTCTTTGTGGTAGGATCCAAACCAGTTAATCCGGGCCAGTGCGCTGAGGGTTTTGTCCAGTATCCGTGTCCCCATAATTGTCCCCATCATGATGTTGGCCATCAAGGAGGCTTCAGCTGACCTGTCTCCTTATGTCAGGAAGACTGCCGCCCATGCCATCCAGAAGCTGTACAGGTATAGCTCTTCAGGGCTGCAGCATGTGCTGCATGTCACTGGGTGAAGCTGGTGGCTAGTGGCTGCACCTGTTGACTTCATCCTCCCTCATTCCTGAGCAGTGAACTCACCAGTTAATGCAGCAAATGTTGTGTAATGCTGATATAAAGGGTTTTACCCTGCAGTTATCTCACTCTAATCAGCTGAGTGTTTCCAAGATTGGTTGAAAGGATTAATGAATGAATGAGTGCTTAAAATATGAACAAAGTAGTAAATCCTGATCAAATATGCAACAGATATGTTGTAATTTGATGTAATTGTTGACATGAAGTTGTCATTTCTTTTCCAGTACTAGGGTTATGTCTGAAATCGATCCCTGTTTACGATAAAGTGCACTTTATTTACTCTGCACCATTTTAATTGAGTTAAAATTCTTATAATTGAATTAATGTCTACAGTCAGCGGTTAGTTTGATTGTTTTTTGGTCCGTTATTTTTTCTATATGACATAAAATAGTTATGATACCGGTTATAATTTCTCAGAGCCCAAGATGTTGTATTCCAAATGCTTGTTTTATTGAAAACCTAACTACATTGAATTTGCAGTGCGACAGGACAAAGAAATGCAGTGTGTCATTACATTTTCAAACCAGGAAATGTTTGTAGTCTGCTAACAACCCCACAATGTAATGTGTCATATTTTATAGTTGCAGAAATACCAGTTGTGCGACTCCGCACCTGTCAGTAATGATACAGGTGTCTGATTATTGCTCACTGCACTGCCAACCTGGACCCGGTGACTTGAAATGAAAAAGTGATTGCCTTAAAAATGACGTAATAGAGAAATGTTAATCGTAGAGACACCACAGCCTGTCCCGTCGCCGCTGAATTTATCAGACGATGTAAAATCTTACTTCATGTACCTTTAAAGTAGAAACAAATTGCAGTGTAAACTATTTAGTGTCTGTCACATAGTGAGCAGTAAATAAGTAATCCAGTGATTCTCGACGTGGTCTGGCTCAGAAAATAAAACATGCTCATAGATAGTTGATCTAATCTGCTGTCAGCACGTCTCTGTATTCTGAGCACACAGAGGGGACATGATTTAATTTGTAAGTCCATCAAGTTTTCATGTTATGTGAATAATTGCCATTCCTTAATTGACAATTTATTTCAAAGCTCTCTCTCTCTCTTGCCTTCAGCCTGGATCAAGACCAGAAGGAGCAGCTGATTGAAGTGATAGAGAAACTACTGAAAGACAAAAGCACGGTAAGTCTGGATGGAGCTGTGTCACGTTGGAGAATGCAGACCACTGGAGGGCGTCTCAGTCAAGCACTTCTCCTTTTAGCTCTCCATCCCACACCTCATTCGGCAATGCCATGGTTTGTTAACACCCACTTAAACCTGCACATCTTCAGATGCTCCTTGTTAAGTGTCCATTTGGAAGGATTTTTTGCACTGATGCTAGTGTCAGTTTAATTTTCTCAGAGGCCAACTTCTTTTTTTTTTCCAAAATGGATTGTAAATGAGTTAGATTCTCAAATTCTATGTTTAGGCCAGTCACAGACACAATGCATGCAGCCCATTAGAAGTCAGTAGGCAGCACATTCATTTGACAAGGTCACAATGAATACTAAGAGTGTTTAAATGCCAATTTCACATATGTAGATGTTGGCTACTGAACGCAATGTGCGTCGTGTTTGTATGTGCAAGTTGTGCTCAGTTTGTTGTAATTATGTATTCACAGCGTATACCTATCATTATGCAAACAAAACAAAGCAGCTTAGGCTTGGGGGGGATGGAAGGCCCAGAACCAGATGCATAGCATATTTAGCCCCCGTCGCTAACGAAGACGGATGACTTCTCCCTGTTGGAGCTTGCATTGTAAGGCTGGGGACAGAGAGAGAGGGCACCACCATCACACAGATGCACAAGCACTATCCGCCTCTGATGAAATGATGTATTTTTATGATGCTGGGACAATACTAAAAGTAGCACAACAGTGGACAGTCGTCTTGCCATTTTGTGTCTATTCCTATTTGCTGGGGCCATGTGAGGATGTCTTGGAGGTGGCTCTGTGCTGATATTACTGAGGGGGAACATGTCCCTTAAGATAGACAGCTACTGCACATAAAGGTCAGTTTACTAACATGAGTCGTACTATACTGCCTGCGAAAAGTGTTTTATAATGTCTCCTGCAGCTCCGCTTGAGCTGAGCATTGCTGCTGCTTATGCTGTTAGGATTGTTTCAACTCGGGTGTGGAGACAGATTTTTAGCAGAAATCGGTGTGAGCCTGCATGCACAATACTAGGTGCAACTGGCTCACCTAAATGTAATACAGTCATTATAAACATTATTAATTATACCTGTACCTGTCCTACAATATGTCAAACTGGCTGTTCTGAAAAATCTCTTCTGCCACTTTTTTTTTCAGCCTTAAAGCTTCTGAGATATTTTAAGGTTTATAATGCAGTTTTGATATCTGTATTTTTAATTAATCCATTTAATGACAAGTCTTTGAATTTATTGAGCTCAGTGAGATGCTGTTTAGCTGATGTCACTGTGCCGCCTGGTAAAGAAGGAAGCATTTGGTTATCATTCAGGCTGTGGCGGTGTCCGGGCCTCCTGACATTTACCCTTACAGATGTGCCTGTTTGGTTAAATGGCTGTGACACGCAGGGCCCTGCTTATAGGCAGGATGGTTTAAAGAGAAAATGGGAAGGCCTGATGACAGAGACAACAGAGTTTGTGCAGCTGTTTTACAGTGATGGATCTATTATCCAGCCATTACAAGATAAATGATCGATCTCTCCCGTGTTCTCCCCTGCACCTTCTGCAAAATTGAAATGAGAACAGAAGGGATGGGCAAGGGGCGGGGGGTACTATGATTAGGGGCTAGGTGAGACGCCCATTAATTTAAGAGTGAAAGGAGGGAGAGCTTAAGAGGAGCGAGCACAGCGAGGATAGGCCGACCCCACACCGGGCCATCAATCAAAAAGGCACACGTTGTCTCTGGCGTGATGACCCAGCACTCTCTGCCTCCCTGGCACCCTAATTAGAATTCATAGCAAAATAGATGCAAGGAAACGGTTTGGGCCCTTCATAATTTTATAGGAAATTTATTGTTATTAGAAGAACCATTTGCTTAGTGTGATTTTTCCATTACCAGCTTGTCACGCAGGGTAGATAATATGGTCGAGGTGGAGGAGGAGCGGCGATGAAGTGTATGAACCCCATAGATTGGGGTGTCAGTTTTGTTGATGGTGCATGTAGTTTACCTTGGAGCTGTGTCTAATGGGGGAAGTTGGTAGAGAATGCACAAAGCCTTGCAGCAGGGTCCACATGTGTAGAAATAGTACTGCCTGTGATAGCCTTAGACGGGAGAGGCCAGGGGAGCACGCCAGGTGAGAATGACGCTCCCACGCAAAAACACACACCAAGACCCACTGCACGCATATTTTCCAATTCACTGCTTTGTGTAGGTTTATATGCTGTAGAATATGTTGACAGAGCTGTTAAGTGAAAAGCCCTGCAGAGCTTCAAGCCTGTTGTATTCATACTGCCCATCAGAATCATGCTTCTTTGCTTTCTGATGTTGCCTATAAAAGCAGCGCACTCCGTTGTTTCCAGTTCAAAATTTTTTTACTGATCTGAACATCACTAACCAAATCCTGTTCACACCCTATATATTTGAACGGTGGCAGAAATCTCAGATATCGTAAAACCATATAAATCACTAATAGACCCTTTTCACTGTATTTAGGCTTGTCACAGCAGGAAAAGTACAGGTGTAACTAATAGTACTGTACATAATTAATGACGGCTCTGCTTCACGTGGATGTTCCACTAAGCTATAATGCACAGCACCATGGCCTTGAAACTGTCAGTTTTTAAGGATCATAATTACACCTTTGGCTTTTCAGCTGTGAAAAAGGTTTATAGAGTTGTGAATTGCTTTCTGGTACCAGCTTCTCTAACTAAAATGAGGCAAACTTGCTCAGTAAATTAATCATATATACTGTGACTATAACATTTCACTTCCTTTAATTACACTTAACCAAATGTGACTATAACATTTCACTTCCTTTAAATCCACGGAATGCCTTTAATTACACTTAACCAAGTGCTACTGAAATCAGGTTTTGTTTATGTTGGTTTCTCTGTGTTCAACAGATTAATCCACATATATGGAGAAAGAAATCAGGTTTTGTTTATGTTGGTTTCTGTGTTCAACAGATGAATCCACATATATGGAGAAACTGTACACAGTTGTACATGCTCATTATGACATGCTGTAAATATCATCACTGAAGTACACAGTATGTATAGTATGCAGTATGACATTCATTCCATTACGATCATATAAACTGTGAAAACAACATATAAATACCTTCTATTTGTAGGTGTCAGGGTGTTTTGGCTGTCGGTAGCTACATCCTCAGTTGTCAGTTTATTAAGCACACCAAGCTTAAACTAATGCAGTGTAATATAGCAGTCCTGTATGAAATCCTATCCTTCATGAATGTTAAAGCTTTGTTGACGCTGTTATAAACGGGTGTTGATGCACCTATATTATTAACTGGAGGATGGAGTTTGTGGTGCTGTTGAGCTTATACTTAACAAATGATTTTATTATTTTGTCAGTGCCATTTAGATTCATTAGGACAAGTTGAGTAACATGCCTTTCTGTATAATGCACTGTAATTAAACAATAAACTACAGTTTCCAAAATGATCTTGTAGTTAAATCAGCATGTCTTTAAAACGGTATCAACAAACATGAAGGAGGATTTAGCTAGGTGTACCTAATAAACTGACAACCGAGGGTATATTATGTCTGATAACATGCACTTTAAAGATTGTTGGTGATAAGCTGCAGTAGCTTTATCATGTAATTACCCTGTCTATATCTACCCGTAAGTGTCATTGTTTGAATGTGCATTTAATTTCCGTGTGGGTCCCTCAGTAAGTGTAACGTCATATTTCACTTTGATACCATAAAATGTAGTTGCGTGATCCTCCAGTGATTCATTCATCAGTATTGGTGATGTGAATGTCAGAAAGGCTAATCATCACTCAGATGTAAGAGCCAGATTACTCAGAGAATCTACAGACAGCGGCCGTGCACATAGACGATTCATACAGACATAATCAATGCAGGCTCATGACAATGCTGATGGGTAAATGCACTGGGTTCCCACAGGGCTGCCAGAGGCCAGAAGGCTTTAATTGGTAAGACCAGATTCTGCTCCCTTTCTCCTCTTCTTCACCCTCACCTGCCCGTGATAATGATGTTTGCATATTAATACACCTCCGTGTCATTCACTCAGTCTGTCAGTCAGCGAGCCAGCAGGCAGTTTTGTGGTGGGGTGGGAGGGCGCGCATCAGACAAATGGATTTTCTCCTCCTGCTATATTATAGTTGATTATTGGCTCTCTCGGCCTTCTCCTTGTCTTCCTTTCCCCATGAATTGAACATGAACATAAAATGAAGTTTGCGCCTAAGAAAAAATATAATTTACAGAAAAGACATGAGAAACAAGCGTACTGATGTATTTGTTTAACGGGGTTGTGTAAAAAAAGTTGGTTAAAGCTTTTGTTTTCATTTTAATTATCAACTAACCACTCAGGCTTTTTGATAAATTAGTTATTTAAAGCAGAGTTTTTTTAGGACATATTTTGTCTAACGTAACTGCTGCATATCCTCACATTGTCCAGTAACTTCTTGTATGTTACTGGAGAGAAATTAAAGAAGCATTATCAGCATTTCCTCATCAGTTTCCTCACTGTTGTTCTACTTCTGTTGATTCCTCTCTCTAGCTGGTGGCCGGTAGTGTGGTAATGGCCTTTGAGGAGGTGTGTCCAGATCGCATTGACCTGATCCATAAGAACTACAGAAAGCTGTGTAATCTGCTGGTGGATGTGGAGGAATGGGGCCAGGTGGTCATCATCTCCATGCTTACACGCTACGCCAGGACACAGTTCACCAGCCCCTGGAAGGAGGTGAGGCGCTCGTCATGGAATTAAAAACCATGGTGGCTATTTACCAGTATACGATTAGAACAATTTTGGGAGCAAGCAGGCTTCCTAACCATGGTTACAATTACTGCTCATGCTCATACCCGATGGTGCACAAGTTTGTTGTATGCTAAAAACTGTGCCCAGTTGTTTTAGGAATTTATTTATTTTTAATGAATGTTTATATTTGTGACCAATCTCTAACGAGTTACATCTTCAGCACATCCAGGCTGGAGAAGGACTGAAACATTGTTGGTTTTGGTCTTTCCATAAGACACTATATGTTGACAATGAGGAAAATATTGGACACCAGACAATTCTAGGTCTGTATAAATTGAAATGCCAAAGGAACGATGAAGCTAAAATCTTTTGTTGTCATAACACAGGTTGTAACATTTGAGTTGCACTGACTGTTTTTAAATGACTTTATACAATATGCTTTTATTGAATTTCTGTGCCAAACTTCCTGAGATAGTTTAAAGGTGTTGGTGTGACATATTGTGGCGTTTGTGTTTCAGGATGCTATGTTCGATGAGACCAATGAGAAGGCCTTTTATGACTCTGACTCTGAGGAGAAAAAGGACCAGGTGAAGGCCGGGCCTTATGTCATGGATCCAGATCACAGGCTGCTGCTCAGGAACACCAAACCTCTCCTGCAGAGCAGGAACACTGCTGTGAGTCAGCTGGACCCAAAATACAGACTTATACAACCATCTTCAAGCCATTAATAGTTGAATGAACACACATCTGATATGAAGCTGATGGTTATTCATTGTCAGTGTTGGAAAGTGTAGTGTGTGTAAACATATGTGTCTGCTTTTTAATCTGTTGAGAGATATAAATATTGATCACATTACCTCTGTTCCTATCGCAAGAATAAAATACCAGCTAATGTTGCTCCTGTCCTGTATGGGTGTATACACACACTTTCACTTTCTAACAATAATACATCACAAGATACAATGTACACACCTGGACACACAACACAAGACATGGGAGTACACACACACTTGCTCTAGTGGGCCCCCAAGATAGATAAAAAAAAAAGAGAAAACAGTCAACGCAGATCTCCATCACTCAGGAGGCTCAAGGTCTCTGTCGCTGTGCAGCAGCGGGAGGAAAAATGCTCCCAAATGAAAGTGTTGATTAAAATGTGACATGCTGCGTCTTGTGACAACACGATGACATCCTCTATCTTCATAGACACCTGAACCCTTTCATCTTGCCTGCAGTGATGGACACACGTGCTCCTGCTATTTAAAGTGCTGCTATAAAATTACCTTTTAGAGTCATGAGCGCTTTTGTAGAGCCCTAAGAAATCCATGTGATGGAAGGTATTTTATTTTAGCTTGAGTAGACAGATGGTAATACACTGTAGGGGCTGTATTAATAATAAAGCACTAAAAAGTGCTTTTCAAAGTTTAAAAAGGCATAAAATCAAGGTAGAGTAATGTATAGAGTTGGATGGTAGCACATTCTGCAAAGTGGTTGAAAATTAAAACAACGAATAAAAAGCATGAAAGCTAAAAGCAATTCTATGGCAGGATGTTTTAAGGTAATGCAGTAAGATTCTCTCTGTGCTGATGTGTTTTAGGTGGTGATGTCTGTCGCTCAACTCTACTGGCATCTGGCCCCTAAACATGAAGTCAACATTGTCACCAAGTCACTGGTTCGACTACTGAGAAGCAACAGGTAATGCATATTCTTTTTTGCCTCCCTTGCAATCGTCTGTGATGAATGATTTGCCACGGAGTTCTCTGTATCTTTGCGTTCATGTTGTTGATGTTTGAGAATTTTTTTTCTTTCTCCTTTGTACAGAGAGGTGCAGTACATTGTGCTTCAGAACATCGCCACAATGTCCATTCAGAGAAAGGTTAGGCTGCTAGTGGACAGGAGAACAATCAGGGTATTTGGTGCTGATGCAGATTCTCTAATAACGCCAGTTTTCTCCAAACAGGGGATGTTTGAGCCATTCATGAAGAGTTTCTATGTCCGATCTACAGATTCAACACATATCAAAACGTTGAAGGTAAGTACCAGTTACTTGTATGCATTTTGTACATATATACAATATGGGCTTGAAGTAGGGTTTAAAAATAACTTCACCAGCCTTTGTAGAACTTTTTTTTGCAGTTTTACAAAGGTCTCAATTTCTGAACATTATACATTCACAATCTTATTGACCTTTATTGGGGCTGTGCTTCAACGAACCATGTTAGACATTCAAAAACTCTCCCTTGTGGTTTTTGCAGTTGGAGATCCTGACCAACCTTGCCAATGAAGCCAACATCTCCATTATTCTGCGTGAATTTCAGGTTTATTTTTTTTTCTTCATGAGTGGCTGACATCAACAGTCAAGGGTTAATTTCCACTTTGAGATTTTGGGTATTAAGTCTCTAATCTTAACTATTTTCAGACCTATGTGAAGAGTCAGGACAAGGCGTTTGCAGCAGCCACCATTCAGGCCATTGGCAGGTGTGCTACCAACATCTCTGAGGTCACCGACACCTGTCTCAACGGTCTGGTTCTGCTGCTGTCCAACAGAGACGGTAAAATGAGTCCATGTTTGAGTGTCATACTGTATCTGCAGGTACTTATTGTCAAAGAGTGTTGAACTTCCTCAGTAGACTGAGGCATTGTAACCTTCCTGTTGAGTATTTCTGTGTTGTGAGAACTTGTCTTGTCTGTGCAGAGACTGTGGTGGCTGAGAGTGTGGTGGTGATCAAGAAGCTGCTTCAGACTCAGCCCAGCCAGCGCAGTGAGATCATCAAACACATGGCCAAGCTCTTCGACAGCATCACTGTATGACTCGTCTTTGTATTATTTGAACATTTGTATTAGCTCAACAGGAAAGTAAAAGCTGGAACAGATTAAGAAATTTTTAAAATAACAATGTGACAGTGGCCTTTTCTTTTGTCCCCCAAACTTCAGGTCCCCATGGCCCGAGCAAGCATCCTGTGGCTGATGGGAGAGTACTGTGAGAGGGTACCAAAGATCGCACCTGATGTTCTCCGTAAGATGGCGAAGACCTTCACAGCAGAGGAGGAGATTGTCAAGCTGCAGACAGTGAACCTAGCAGCCAAACTCTACCTAACCAACTCTAAACAGGTAACAGCAACACATTCCTGTCGTGTCGACCCGAACATAAGACAAATGTGGTGCTGCATTAATGCTACTGATTTCTGAAGGTGTGCATGTGGTAATCTTCTCAAACACTTCTGCAACTTGGAGCTAAATACCCAGTTTAAATATAGAGCTGCAAATGAGACCGTTTTCATGTAATGGTGCATCTCCTAACGCTGCTTGGTGTCTACAGGCCCATTCAGTTATGATGATTTTGGCCTCTGAGGTGGATTATATGAACCCAGGCACTATCCCCTCAAACAAGCATATCTTTAAACCTGCTTGCTGTTTGTAATTTGTCGTGGGGAATAGAGACAGAGCGAGAGAGAGCCATTGTAATGGTGCTTTTAAGGCAAAAGCAGCTTGTCACGCAGGGTAGATAATACTGTATGGTCGAGGTGGAGGAGGAGCACCATTGGTCTTGCCTCACTTATGCTTTCCTAATGAACTGTCTGCTGCCTTACATGTCATCCAACATTTTCCCTTCAATCTCTCCATCTCAGACCAAGCTCCTGACCCAGTACATTCTGAACCTGGGCAAATACGACCAGAACTACGATATCAGAGACCGAACACGCTTCATAAGGCAGCTGATAGTGCCCAGTGAGCAGGGTGGGGCCCTCAGCAAGTACGCTCGACGCATCTTACTGGCCCCCAAGCCAGCCCCTGTCCTTGAGTCTGCCTTCAAAGGTACTTCATACATTTATAACATCAACCTCTTATGATTCTTCTGAAACATAATAAGTCCTCTATGTAGGTTGAACACTCAAGGTTAGCCACGGTTCTTCTCCTGTGTCTGTTTGATAATTTGTCAGTGATTCACTGAATACATATTAACTGGATCTCTATTTCACATATCGTGGCTCTATTTCCAGTAGTATGCCAAGCTGATTCAGGCAGCGGTTTTATTATTCTGGTGTGTCTGTCTCTCTGAAGGGCAGATAGGTCAGACCCCTTTACCTTGGACTAATGAGATGGGTAAATTATTGAGCCAAGTTTAACCTTTTTCACACACTGAGAGGAGGGAAAAATCTCCCTCATTTAGTGGTCTCTCCTCTCTCTCTCTCCCTCCTTGACTGAAGGGACAAAAGCTGCTTCCTGCAGCATTAAAATTCAGAGGCAGTTTGCACCTACTAGATGTTTATGGAAAGTGTTCACAACCCCTGTCATTCTTAATATTCACAAATGAAGTCTTTTTTCTTAGCAAAGCAGAGTTTTTAGAGCATACCTCCCAAGGCACCGACTCTGATTATCTTCCCCTATGAGCGTATGTGTCTCTGTGTGCACTCAGACACAGAGAGCTGATACTAAATGCTTATGTGTGATGGCAAAGAGGAAGCCTAGATTTTATGTTAAATGTCTCTTAAATGTAGTTATTTTATTTTGAATCCCTTTGATGTTTGTGCCACCCCTCATTCGCTTCTTCTCAACCCAGTGCATTTTTGCTTTCTTTTCCCTACTTTCAGATCGAGACCACTACCAACTGGGCAGTCTCTCCCACAGTCTCAATATTAAAGCTATTGGATACCAGGAGCTCTCGGACTGGCCAGCTGTTGCTCCTGACCAGTCTGTGAGGAACGTGGAGGTCATTGAGCCAGTAAGGAATCTACCTTTTTAACTAGGGGTGGGAGAAAAAAATCAATTCACATTCGTGTCTTGTACAATTCTAAACTGATTCACAAACGCTAAAAATCGATTTTTGTCACAATGTTGACAGAAAGAAACGGGCGGAACTCAAAGCCATAGGAGAAAGCTTGCACTTACCAGAACTGTGTTGTACATCTATGGTTGTAACGTTATCATAGTTCATTTTCAGTTCATTTGATTTTCTTTCTTTGTAGAACTGTAACTGACAGCATAGATGCTGTAACGTGTGTATTTGCTCTGTTTTACCACAGGTTGGATGCACTGTACATATACATGTATTTCATGTGTAGCCAGTAATTCCCTCATTGTGTACTTTGAGAGCTGGATGTAGTTTCCCTTCTCCAAGCTGTTTCTGTACCTCCTCTGTGCACTCTTTGTGCACTACGCATTTCCAGTGCACCCAGTAAAGACATGAGCATGAGCCTCGCTCGAGATGCCGATCAGCACAGAATCAGAAATCTCAGTGATCGGCTGGTTGCCAGTCAAAGCTGATCACCATGAAAACCGGCCATATCTGATCAATCGGTGTTACTGGAATTGTTCGCACCAGGAAGCACTCATTATGGAGTCATTTAAAATGTTGTTTAAACTACAAAGAATAAGTTTACTTGGAGATTAGCATACAATAATGCAAAGAACAAAGTGCTAGAAGTTGAAAATAAAATATTAGGTAGCGCGTCTGACACATCAAAATGGCCACGACCATTACCACTCACACTTGTGACACCAGAAAAGCTCAGAAAATAGCTGTTTGCATATTAAACCAAATGTATAGCTTCTGCAGAAATGCATGTATCTAAACCTGGATATTCTTTTGTGCCACAGAGCTTCATTGTGCCCAGAAGCTATTAAAGCACATTAGTGACCACACTCTTGCATTAGGTGATGTGTGTGAACACACACACACACACACACACTGTACTTTATTTTAGCTCAGCCCCACACTCACTGTCCTGCTGCCACTAAAGCAGGAAATGCATATTTACCCACAGAAGTTGGTCCCCAACAAATGCACTGTTTACAACTTTTTGAGTAATGTTTGCTAAAAACTACAATACCCAGCTGTTTTAGGAAATGAAACTATTAAAGATTTTCGTCTTGTTTAGAAACCAGTAAGACTGGGACCTAGAGCCACAGACAAGTTAGGGAACTCTGAAGGTAGAGAGATAGATGGACACATTGTGGGTTTTGGTCTCTTCATGGGATTTGATGGAAATGGAAACTAGCACCAGTCCTCCAAGAAAAAAGCAGAAGATTAAAATAAGCTAAAAGGGAATAAATGCGAATAAACCAGCTTTGTTTTGAATAGACATCTGTTTGCTCATCTGATGATTTTTTCCTTTACAAAATTATATGTTTAAATGCTTTGTTTTATGGGAATAGTTTAAGTTGGAGAAATTAACATGCACACCTCTATTCCAATCAGCTCAGACACAGTAACTTTGTTGTTCCCTGTTATAAGTTAAAGAATAAAAATTAAAGGACTTTTGTTTTTCAGGGAGTGATTTTATTGATCTTATTTTTTTGTTCTCACAGACCCAGCTCAAGTTTTCTCATTGTTACTTTGTGGCAGCTAATGAGGATCCTGATTAAACAAACAGTAAATCAGAACACAGACATCTGGCTTAACAAAGGTTTTGCCTGGCTCTTGGTATAATGCATATTTAACAGAAAATATATCAAGTATCTTGGGAAATCTGTGTTGTCCTGGACAAAAGAAATTCCAGCAAAAACTGAATGGGTTTTGGTTATAGCCTCTTACTGAAGTGATCGAGAGCCCCTAAATTATTTTTCTTGAATTCTAATCTAATTTGCTTTGGTTCTCTCCTCCATATCTGTTTAGGTGAAGGAATGGGTACCATTAGTTGGGAAGGTCAAGAAATCCAAATCAGATAGCAAGTTCTACTCGGATGATGAAGATGATAAAGAAGAGGAAGGCTCTGACAGCAGTGGCAGTGAGGACAGCAGCAGCAGCAGCAGTAGCAGTGGAGGTTGGTTTTGGTCTCTGTGTGTCTGAAAGTGATTTTATCGAGTAGTTTTCAGACAATGTTATGATGCTTTCCTTATTTTCTTTAGTGGATTAAAGTTATAATCCTTTAAATTTCAATCCTGGTCGATCTGGCAGCACTGACCTTACTGTGGTAACTACTGGTGCATCTGGTAAGTGAAGCCAAACAAACTCCAATTGGGTAAATCCCTAATTGCATTTGCATTTCCCTCACTTGCGTCTTAGTCCTGCTCATGTAAGATGCAAGGAGAGAGGAATCGAGGAAGCACATTTTAGAGACATGTTTTACTTCAATCCTTCACCTGAAATGTCCAATCACAAAGTGATTTCTGGTAAAGGGGCGTGTTGGTCCATAAAAGCCTTCCACGAAGGATTGTTTCTTGTGTCCTTGCTCATGTCTCCTCGCTCCTCGATCCTCACTCCTCAGAGCAGGAAAGGGAGCTGTGGGATGTCCTTCAAGATGGCAGATGAGAACGACTTCCAGGTTGAGTGAGGATCAAGGAGTGAGGAATGATCAGTTAAAGGTATTGGGATTTTTCTATTGTTGTAACAAAGGACCCAGGCTACTAGTGGCTGTCTTCTGTCACGCTAGGGGTGACGGCAATCTGATAATAAATCATATCGAGCATAGAGATTAATTAATCGGGGTTATGTTTATTATTTCTATGAATGTCTGCACAGAGTCAGGCAGTGAGAGCGAGGAGGAAAGCAGTGAAGAGTCAGAGAAGACCTCCAGTGATTCTGGAAGGAGTTCAAGTGCATCTGAAGAGAGTACCAGTGAATCTAAGTCAGAACAAACAACAAAGAAAAAGACCAAGAAGGTGCCACAGGAAAAAAAAAGCAAACCACCTGCTGCTGACAGGTACAGTGAAATCCCTTTAGTCTGTCAGACTCTGAGAGCATCATTTGTCTTCCCTGTGAATTTGGTGTGTCCAGATGTCACCTGAATTTTTTTTTTTTTCTCTTGTGTAGCTAATTAGACAGGTGTGTGTTTGCGAGAAGCACCAGAGTCGTAGTCGACAGCAAATGTGATCAGTGCTTTGCTGCATCAATAAGCTGATTCTCCATCTGTTCAAACCTTCAGCCATTTTTTTTATGATATATATGACAAACCTGCCTGCTGGCATGATACCTCTGCCTGTTCAGTTTGATTTTTTTTTTTTTCTTCCCTGAACCCATAAACATTTTCACTTCATTCAGTCTAAACCTGGAAAAATGTAAAGAATTTTGAAACTTACTTACTCACTTGTGAAACCTTGAACACTCAGAAAAAGGTGATGGCGATCTGACATGTTTGTAACACCTAGAGTGAAAAAGAGTTGGATGCACGCTCCTAAATGGGCATGAAGATGATGTTTAATCCAACATTTTCCATCTTGTGCGTGAACAATTCTTCTCTTCTCCGGGTTTTAGCACCTGCAGCCGTTTATTTTTGTTTAATTGGTTTTCTGGATTAGATTTTCCTGCAAACACAGCGAATACAGTACTGTTTAGAAACGTAGCTGTGCGTTTTACACTTGTTGATCTTTACCTCTGGGTGTTGTTCATATGCACATGACCACTATTAGCTTCTGCTTGGATGGAACTTCTGGGTCTTACAGGTGTAATTATTTGCTTTTGCTTGTTGTTAACCTGATAGTTCACTTATTTCTGTGGTTTTGCTGTTATTTTTGCTCTAATTATAACGCCATCCCTACACTCAGAAGAGATGCCTGACACATGTGTGCTTGTCTTAACATACCTCATACTATGAATGAACAGGCCAAACCTCTGTCCATTTCAATTACACCCATCTGCGTCCCATTGAGGAGCTGGGCCACCACGTGCCACCAGAACAGCTTCACCTTGACTCTTCAAGTCTCTGAACTCCCCTGGAGGGATGAACACTGTTCCTCCAACAGATGTTCCTTCATGGGGTTGATTTGATGATGATGATGGTGAAGACGCTGTCTAACACGTCGCTCCAACATCTCCCATAGCTGTTCACCTGGCCTGAGACCTGGTGACTGAGAAGGTCACAGTATCATGTTCATCCTCATCAAACCATTCAGTGACCCCTCGTGTCCTGTGGACGGGGGCACTGTCACTTGCCTGTATATATAATCGTATGTAAACATCACAAATGGTAAGTTTTTAAGGTGTATCTTCCTATTGTAGGAGTTACATGAGATTTTAACAGGACCAGATAACAGTGTTATGGATCCTTTGGAAGGTGGAAAACCTGCATACACCACCAAATGCTTTCTGGCCACCGAATTTTATCCAGATCCGTTTTCAGATGGGAGGGAAAAGTAACCAGCTTTCTGGGCATAGTGTGTGAGCTGTACGTACCTACTGTAGTGCTCTTTCCCCTGTTTCTGTCTCTCTCACACACACACACTCAGACTGGCAGAGCTAGTGGAATATTGTTAGTGTGAGTTCCATTAACAAGTTAATCAAGGAGAATATTCCTCCAGTAGCATAACCCACATTTACATGGCTAATAGATAATGACTTTTGATTGGTCATTTAGTGGCCTGGTGTTACCAATGAATGAGATTTGAGTCATTACTACTGAATATGCTCATACACACTTTCTTACACACTGGCAAATTTAGTTTCTTATGCACTCTACTTCATTTGTCCACAGACACACAAACTCACACAGAATGTACCTGATTGTGCTGTGTGACAGGCCGCCGGCTGACCCTGTTCTCTCCATTAGAGAGTATAATTAGAGCAACTCACCCCGGTGCTCAAACACACAACAACATGCACACACACATACACACAGTAATTAGAGCAGCTCACCCCAGTGCTTCCACAACAAACACAGCATAATGCCCTCATTATGGCCCAGTCATTTCAGGCAGGGGCTAATCAGGCCCACAGTGATTTATATCACTTTTTCCTGTTCGCAGCAAATGAAATCTGTAGGCCAAATTAATACTGGCTTTTCATCATCGCCCAAGTTAAAAAGCCAGTTACCGTCACAATTCCCCCATTAATTTAACGGCTGAAAATCCCAGGCAGGCGGAGTAAACACTCATTATCGGGACAAATTGAAGAGGGACAGAGCAAGTGGAAGAGAGAGGAGAAAGATGGAAAAAAAATCTTTTTGAGCAAATGCAACATTGAATTAGCTTTGCAAACAAAATCAGATTGTTTGTTGTTCTCACCGGCTGAGCTCAAGCTTTCAGTTCAGATGGAAGAGAAAATGAATGGAAGCTCTATATGTTTTATGTTAATGAACTGTTTCTCATGTTAATATTTCAAAAGCTCAACAAAATAAATGGACAGTGTTTTTATTATGTATACAGTCTGCTGCTTGTATTAATCCCAATTTTGTGCCATTCCTGTGTTTCAGCAGCTCAGATGAAAATGGTAATGCACCTGTAGCCCAGGCTAGCAGCTCCTCATCAGAAAGCTCCTCCGGCTCAGAGTCAGACTCCGAGGGTGACTCTGATTCAGATCCCCCCAGGGTACAGAAGAAG